AGTCCACAACGGGCGGCATCGCATGTAGTGGCACTGTCTATCGGCGTACGAACGGCAGCCAAAGATACACGAGCGGGGACCTCCAACGTACTGTATGCGCGAAGAAGTGAGCCAACCAGAGCAGTAAGTTTTGATGACAAGCATGGCCCAGCTCATGGGAACCAGCGAGAGAAATCCACCAATTTCCGTCCAAGCCACACGGTCAAGAAACGGCTCCCATTCACAAACATATCTCTGAGGGCGTTGCTGCACCAATGCAGCCAGCGGGAAGGGCGTCACCAGCATTTCCCGCAGAGCGTGTGTGGCTGCGCGTTGGGGCTTGGGCTTCCTGTCGGTGACCTGGAGCTCCTGGGTGATGGCCTGCACGCACCTGTCCGTGACCTCAGCAGAGTACGCCATTTCCCTGCGCGGCTGGTGTACCGAGGCGTAGCCCAGCAAGAAAGACGGGGACTGCCAGTGCGTTCCAACATGGTCCAGGGCATCTTCGCGTGATCGAGTCGCCGCTAAGGATGCATCATCATAACGGCCTTCCATCAGTGATAACTTCCATTCAGATTCAAGTAGTCGACAGCGGTCAAGAATGGTAGTGTGGTTAGAGAACGTGACTAAAGCGGCTCGAGCATAGGCGGCAGCACACGAGTGGAGCAGCAAGGGGATACGGGGACCACCCCAGGCGCCAAGTTGGGCCCAGCCTGCCGCAGTGAGCATACCAAGAGGGGCTCTGAAGACCTGCGCGAGGATCCCCAGTTCCAGGGCAGCGTGTCGTGGTGGAAGTGGGACAAATAGGGCCACATAGGAGACCACTGAGAAGACCCTAGAAGAGTACAGGACACCGTTGATACTGGCGGGGGCAGCGCCCGACCCAAGAAGTCGGGCTCGTAGTTTGAGCTTCTGCAGCGGGGCGTGCCACTGCATGTCCACAGTGACGGCTGGGCCCAGCAGGAGGCCAAGGTAGAGGACGTAGGGGGCCACTTCGAAGGCCTGCCAGGCAGGGACGAGGTGGGCCACGAGGGACATCGTGTGTAGCTGGAGGGACTCGGTGAACACACCCTTGAGCGGGACGATTTTGCACCTCGGGGGCTTAAGTCTCAGTCCTGTGAGACGCTCCGTGACCAACATCACATCATACAACACAGTGGGGTGCTTCGCTTCAAACAGTACCGCGCCGATGTCATCAGCGCATGCACGAGCGATCCCATAACCAGGAGTCTCCAGAGTATCCTCCAGCGCGCAGAGGAAGGGGGCCGTGCCGAGGGCGTAGAGGCTCCCTGAGAGCCCGCAACCTTGGATAATCCCAGAGCGCAACCAGTATATCGGGATAAGCTGGCCAGCATGGGCCACCACACCTTGCATCGCTAAGTACAGCCACGAAAGGAACCACATGGGGGGGGCCAGGGAGCCCGAGCTTATTCATCAACATCAACAAATACTCTTGAGATAGACTAGGGAACGCCTGCCCGTAATCGAACGAGATCAAGAGGGGGTCGCACAGGTCCGAGCGGGGGTGAGCAGCTGCAAGCCTTCCTATGCCGTCGAGTTCGATCACGTTATATCCGGAGTTTCGGCCGACCACGAACCCCCTCTGCGAGCTAGGCACCACCTCCTCCACCACCTTACGGAGCGAGCGGTTGACGACGACGTCATGGTTTTAAGGTCGGTATTTCGCAGACCGAGTACGCGAATCTTGTCTGCCGATCGTGTGCAGCCTCCAGAGGCCTCGCCCTCCTCCTCGGAACCCTTGGGCAAGAAGGCCTGCAACGTGACACTCGCGGCATCAAAGAGGGCCCCCCCGCCGAGCACCCAGTCGAGGGTGTTGCACAGGACGTCGACGCAGCATTCAGAAGCATTCCAGGCGGCATAGGGGATGCCGTCCACACCTGGGGCAGAGTGCCGTGCACCACGCACAGCTCGACGGACGGCAGCTTTAGTTGGTGGCGGGACCTCACACTGGACGGGGGCCTTCAGGTGGTCCTGGAGGTAGGCCTCAATGCAGGAACCTGGGACAGAGCCTCGGGAGAATACAGGTCGCCAGTAGGCGCTCAAAGCTTGAAACCGATCTTCAGGCGTGTGGGACAAATCGGACTCGGACCGAACAGCCTGCAAGATAAGCCTGCGAGAAAATGGGGCCCAGATGGCCGCCTTCCTTTCCAACAGATGCTGACGACGGCAGGCAGAGGGAGGACGATGTGAAGCAGAGAGACCAGCAGCATGATCAGCCTTAGCTTGCAGTTCTTTTTCCAGAAGCCGCATGTGGACTCCATCCGACCAAGAATGAAAGGATTCAGCATGCCGAAGACTAACTTGTGCGCCTTCAATTTGCAGTAAGTCCGATGCCCACTGCGATGTCGAAATAAGCCGCCGAGCCAGCGGCACGTCCTGACGCCAGACGGCTCTGGCGCAGCTGCGGGCCACGAGGAGCGCCGTCTCGTCGCTCTCCGCCTTCAGCGTGAAGAGCATGTCGCGCACCTCCCTCGCCGCCTCCTTGAGCATTTCCTTGAAATGCTCCTGATAAACAGAGCCAGCGTACGCGACAATCGCGTTCTGGCCGTCAGCTACCATTCCTTCGATACGCTTCTTGAAGAGCGGGTCTAAGAAGATGTGCCGCGGAATAGCTTGTTCTCCTCGAGGCTTTTGATGGCGCTGGCGTAATGTAGTCACCAACGCTGCGTGATCAGATACTTGAGCACGGGACAACGCCTCTGGCTCACCGACCGCGGTAGATTCAGCATGGACCTGACACAGCATCCATCCTGGCAGCGAACAGAAGAACCTGTCCAGGCAACTGACCGAGTTGGTGTGCTTCGTGTAGCGAGTAGCCGCCGACGACGAGATCTCCAGGAGTGCCCCAAGAGCGCGAAGCCAGCGAGCAGCCTGAGCACGATGATTCCGGGGATCAGATACACGCGCAGGCTGAGGGCGATGAAGCACGAGAGCTTCGTCGGGGCCGAAATTGAGGTCGCCTTGCACGATGACCAGGTGGTGGGCAGGGTCAGACGCTGCCAAAACCCGATACCGATCGATCTGCTCACAGACCATGTCCACCTGAGCGCATGTGAGGCCGTGATTATGGATATTGAAATGCGTCAACTGAAATCCACGTCTATGCACATCAACTTGCAGGACCCGTCCTGGAATGAGCGGCGTGGCACAGCTAGACGAGGCTCCGTCCAGAGCCAATCGAGGAAGAATAGTAGCGACGCCTCCCGCACCCGATCCCCCGTGACCGACTGCACAAAATGAGGCGTGAACCACTGCATGGGCATGAGCTTGGAGCACAAACTGCTCAAGCTGGACTCGATCAGCATGAACCTCCTGCATCGCCAACAACGTGGACGGCAAGTGGATTTGCTGAAGGTAACGAAGCTTGGGAAGCGCCTTCGCCCCTTTGTACTGCAGGAGCGCCCTAGCGTTCCAGGTAGCACATCTCAGAGCAATGCCTCCACCACGGGACTGAGGAAGAGCGAACAACTGCAACATATCGTCAAAGGCACCACTGCGGAGGGGGTGGCGGCGCGATGGTGGACTGGATGAGCTCGCGTACCTCGTGCTTGGCGATGCCGACCTCGCGAAGGCCCTCATCGTTGTAGCGGATGTCGAAGGGCTGGTCGTCGGGCTGGGCCGAGAGCTTGAGGATGTGCGTCCACCCGCACCTGAGGACCCCGCGCTCCCTGTCCACAGCCCAGCGTCCATCATATTTGCCAGCCAGTGCCGTACGCAGCTTCCTGAGCGCCATGTCCGTTTTGATTTGCTTTGGATTTTTATCTGGTCCGAGGTGAAGGCGAGCGGGGGAAGAGCCTGTGACGTTGGCCTCAAAGATTCGCCACTCATCGTTCTGCCTGAGATTGGCCAAGACCTTGTTGACATATTTAGACGCCAGCCCAACACTGCCGTTGAATGAGATAAGATATCTTCTGCTTGGTGTCGGTCCAGTAGCTTTGATGACGTAGGACGAGGCGTCCAAGCCCAGCTCGGACAAGAAAGGGGTAAGTGTAGCACGCACGGACTCGATCCCAACCATTTTCGTGGCCATGGCGACGACAACAGACGGGTCTTCCTCACGATCAAAAGAGGGTGGCGGTGTCGGAGCTTTCTCCGTGCGCTTGGCCACCATGAGCTCGCTGCGGAGCTCCTCCATCTGTTTACGTAAGCTGGCAATGTCCGAGGTGTGGCGCTCAACGTCGATCGAGAGCGTGTTGACATGGGACCCCAAGGAGTCAATCTTGGACTGCAATCCGCGGTGCAGAGAGTCAATGTGGGGGCGGACGGTGGCCGTGATCTGCTGGTCAACCTCCTTCGGCTGGGCCGTAATCTGGATGCGCAAGGACTCCAAGGTGTCGAGAATAGATTTGTTGGAAGACTCCACCGTGGCGCCGACGGTAGATCCCACGAGAGATTCCAACTCAGACCGTAGCTCGCCGAACTGTTCAGCGACTGCGTTGGCTGCGACGTGCCTGATGTAGTCGTCATCGTACTGTGGCTGCTGGGGCGGAGGCAGGGCAGGGCCACCAGAGCAACCATCAGGAAGAGAACCAGCACCAGCTGCACAGGCAGCCATGCCAGCGACACCCTTTGCCGCTGGCGTTGCCACCTTTGCCATCGGCCCTAGTCTTCGACCACTTCGCTTCAGGGAAGCCAGGTCCGCGATGATGCTGACCAGGCTGGGCACCCACCGCAGGCGGGTCACTCTCATCATCAGGGAAGGTGGGCATGTCGTCGAGCTCGGCAGCGATGCGAGACTTAACATCATCATTTGGCAAGCCCATCGGAGCGGTTCCGAGCGGAGCGGAACCGTCGAATGTCGCGCACTCCAGGCGCACAACGTGGGCGTCCCACAGTATGCGGAGTGTGTGGCAGTAAGTGCAGAAAGAGAAAGGCTGCCCCACCTGGTCGGGCGACCACCTGTGGTGAGGAGCCGGGCTGACCTGGCCAGCTGCCTCGGGAGATGTTTTACTTGAGCCAAAATGGCTACGGAGGAGGAGGAGGAGGAGGAGGAGGAGGAAGAGGAGGAGGAGGAGGAGGAGGAGGAGGAGGAGGTGAGGGAAGAGGCGGAGGAGGAGGAGGAGGAGAGCGGGTGATTGCATGTGATTGCTCGCAACCGTGGCGGTATTTCCGCGCAGCGCTGAGGGCCCATCACAGGACGTGGCGCGTGACCTTGCGCAGCGAGCGTTGTGTGGACTCCTGCAGCAACGAGGCCTGGCCGTCCAGAACATCCAGGGCTTGTTTGAGTCCCGAAATCTCCTCGCTGCGCCTCTTCACGGTCTCCTCATAAGGTTCAGCCTTCTCGTCGCACTGCTCGTGCAGCTTTGCCAGGTATTTCTCGATTGCCTCCAGCTCTGTCTGCACATTGTCTCTGTCAGAGGACGTCTCTGCTACTGCCTTATCCAAGTCTTTGGACTCCTTGATCTTATCCGCCACCGTGCCTTTTGCACGTGGTCTTTGGTCGTGTTGGAATGTTCCTCTGCTATATGGAAGGCTTCTCCAATGTTTTCCAGGGCTGTACGCGCCCTCCGAAAATCGCACCCCTCTGAAAAGCTATTTGGGCGGCATTTCCCATACAAAAATGAGGTCGGCGCGACCTCCATTTGGGGAGCGCTTTCTAAGCGGCGTTGCTTGGTATTGCATTGCTTTGATTTGCAATGTATTTCCCCAATGAGGCCTACGGAGTTCTTACTTGGTCAAGGGTTGGTGCCTTGGGGGCTTACGTTGCCCGTTCCCCAGAGGGTCCTCGGGTTCCCCTGGCTCCTCGGGTTCCCCGCCCCCGGCGCCTCGTATTCTTACCGTGCCCGTTCCCCGGAAGTTGCTCGGGTTCCCCAGGCTCCTCGGGTTCCCCGCCCCCGGTGCTCCGTATTCTTACGTTGCCCGTTCCTCTGAGGTTTCTCGGGTTCCCAGAGTTCCCCAGGTTCCACGCCCTGGTTGTTGGTCTTGTTTCCCAGCAGCGCCAGGCAACGCCAGGCAACGTTACACAACGCCAAGCAACGCCAAGCATATCAAAGCAGCGCAAAGCAACGCCAAGCAATGCAAAGCAACGCCAACCAATGCCAACCAATTCAAAGTAATGCCAAGCAATGCCAAGCAACGCCAAACAATGCCAGGCCGTGCAAAGCAACGACAAGCAACACCAAGCAACGCCACGCAATGCAAAGCAACGCTAAGTAGTGCCTCGCAACGCCAAGCAGCGCCAAACAATGCCAAGCGATGCAAAGCAATGCCCAGCGACGCCAAGCAGTGCAAAGCAAAGCCAAGCAATGCCAAGCAATGCCAAGAGATGTCAAGCAGTGTCAAGCAACGCCAATCAAGGCCCTGGAATGCAATACAGTGGGAAGAAATGCAATGCGAAGCAATTCCAGCAACACCGCTCAGGAAGCGTTCCCCTAGTTGGGGTCGCGCTGGGTCCCTGCATTGCTGGGCATTGCTTTGTGTTGCTTGGTGTTGCTTGGCATTGCTAGACAATTATTGGCATATCTTGCCATTGTTTGGCATTGTTTTGCGTTGCTTGGCGTCGCTTGGTATTGCTTTGCATCGCTTGTCATTGTTTGGCTCTGCTTGGCGTTGCGTAGCATTACTTAGCGTTGCTTTGCGTTGCTTGAGGCTGCTTGGCATTGTTTGGCGCTGCTTGGCATTACTTGGCATTGCTTGGCGTTGCTTCGCACGGCTTGGCATTGCTTGGCATTGTTTGCCATTGCTTTGCATGGCTTGGCATTGGTTGGCGTTGCTTGGTATTGTTTGGCGTTGCTTGGCGTTGCTTGGCGTTGCTTTGCACTGCTTAGCGTTGCTTTGCATTGCTTGGCGTTGCTTGACGTTGTTTGGCGTTGCCTGGCACTGCTGGGAAACAAGACCAGAGGAACCCTGGAGACCCGAGGAACCTCCGAGGAACGGGCAACGTAAGAATACGAGGCACCTGGGGTGGGGAACCCGGGGAACCCGAGGAACCTCTGGGGAAAGGGCACAATAAGAACACGAAGCACTGGGGGCGGGGAACCCGAGGAACCAGGGGAACCCGAGGAACCCCTGGGGAACGGGCAACGTAAGCCCCCAAGTCACCAACATGTCACCGAGTAAGAACCCTTTGAGGGCAAGCCTACTTGGAGAATAACTGAGGTTTGCCAGCGTGGACCCCAGACAGTGAGCTGTTGCACTGTGGATGTGCAAGCAATGTGGTGCGAGCTATGTGGTGCAATCTATGTGATGGAAGTTGGGCCAACACGATCAGCGCCTATCTACCACCAGAGCTGCGCGGTGCAATCTGTGTGTTAAGGAAGCTGCGTGGTGAAAGGCCTGTGGCGAAACCTCGGCGGTTTCCCCCCTCCTCCTCCTCCTCCTCCTCCTCCTCCTCCTCCTCCTCCTCCTCCTCGGGCGGCAGCGAGGCGGCCACGAGGCGGCGAGGCCACGGGGCGGCCGCAGAGGCGGCGACGCAGCGAAACAAAAACCCGTCGGAGCCCCAAGTGGGCAGCAGCGAGGCGGCCACGGGACGCGGCGAAGGCTCGGCGGACTCCCACCCGGGCGGTGTGTGTGTGTGTGTGTGTGCAGGTTGACGGCCAAAGAGTCGGACCTACTAGATCTCCCGCAGGCAGAGGGAGGCAAGGGAGAGGGTCGCAATCCATTTTCCCATGCGCCTCGGACAGGCGGCGCTGCACCGAATACCAGTACGTGAGCCGAGACGTCGGCAGTAGACATGGATATATCATGGTGATGTGAGCGGACTTCACACACAGGCGGTGGCCACGGGCGGCGACGCGGCGAAACCTCGGCGGGCCCATCGAATTCCTTAGTCGTGAGAGCCCCAAGTGCAAGGTCTTTTGTGGGCGCCATAAAAATCCGCCCCCCCCCCCCCCGAGAGGGGTAGACACATATCCCCATGAAAGGAAGTCAGGTCAGCCTAAACCAGCAACAACGGTCACAACATACAAACAAAAACATGACATAACCACAGACTAACAAACAAACCAACAAACCAACGAACAAACCAACAGCTAACAAAGACGCCCCAAGACAGCCAACACAGTCAATAACCGCCCCAAGTCAACCGAGCTCACTCCAAGACGGCCAGAAAGCCTCCAAGGCGGTTCCAAGAATGCCCAGGAAGGCCAAACGCTCCAAGAGTGCCCCAAGATGGCCTCAAGACGGTCCCAGAGGCCCCAAAGATGGCCCAGAAGGGCTCCACGAACACGCCCAAGAAGCCCTCGAGAGCACACCATATTGTTCCAACCAACCTGTGCTGTAATACGCATCGCCCCGCGTCTCATCCCTCCTCCTCCTCGTCCTCCTGCTCCTGCTCCTCCTCCTCCTCCTCCTCCTCCTCCTCCGCCCCCGTTCTCCTCCCCCTCCTCCTCATCATCCTCACCATCAGCAGCAGTATCAGCATCAGCATCAGCACCACCATCACCATCACCATCACCATCACCATCACCATCACCATCACCATCACCATCACCATCACCATCACCATCACCACCATCACCATCATCATCATCATCATCATCATCATCATCATCATCATCATCATCATCATCAGCATTAGCATCATCATCATCAGCATCAGTATCATCATCAGCATCACCATCATCACCACCATCATACTACTCAGCACCACTACCACCGACGTCATCATTATCATCATCATCAACATCCTCATCATCATCATTATCATCATCATCATCATCAGCATCATCATCATCAATAGCGTCGTCGCCGTCGTCATCATCGTCACCATCCTCATCATCCTATTCGTAATCAGCAACATCAATAGCATCAATACCAGCAATAGCAACATCAGCAGAAACACTCTCATCATCAGCATCATCATAATCACAATCATCACGCTCATCATTATCACCATCGCCATCATCTTCATCCTCATCCTCATCCTCCTCGTCCTCGTACCCATCCTCATCCTCGTCCTCATAATCATAACCATCCTGATCCTCATCCTCATACTCATCATCAGCATCGACATCAGCAACAACATCAGCATCATTACCAGCACCAGCAACAGCCGCATCATCCTCATCAGCAGCGGCATCAGCAGCAACAGCATCCTCATCAACATCATCATCATCGTCATAACCATCATCAACATCGTCGTCATCATCAACATGATCATCATCACCATCACCATCAGCATCACCATCAGCACCATCACCATCACCATCATCAGCATCATCATCATCATCCTCGTCAGCATCATCATCAGCACCAACATCAGGGGCATCATCAGCACCACCACCACCGCCATCATCGTCATCATCATCATCAGAACCAGTATCAGCATTACCCTCGTCATCCGCAGCATCAGCATCGGCATCAGCATCAGCATCAGCCTCAGCATCATCCTCATCATCACCATCGTCACCATCGTGAACATCAACATCACCATCACCATCACCATCACACTCATCATCATCATCATCATCATCAGCATCATCAGCTTCATCAGCACCAGCATCAGCATCATGATCACCATCAACATCGTCATCGTCACCATCAGCATCATGATCACCATCACTGCAATCCTTCGCATCATCGCCATCGGCATCGATATCACCATCGTCATCATCAGGATCGTCGTCATCAAAATCACCGCCACCATCGTCATCAACATCATCGTCATCCTCGTCGCCATTATCATCATCAACATCATCATCATTACCATCGACGTCCTCCTCCATATCCGCCTCATCCTCGTCCCGATCCGCATCCCCATCCGCATCGTCAGCATCATCCTAATGCTCATCCTCCCCCTCATCCTCATCATCGACATCGGCATCTTCATCGGCATCATCAGCATCAGCATCACAATCAGCAACATAGTCATGAGGATCAACATCACCATCATCATCATCATCATCATCATCATCATCATCATCATCATCGTCGTCGTCATCACCATCAGCACCATCATCAGCATCACCTTCACCATCAACATCACCATCATCATCAGTGTCGTCCTCGCCATCGTCATCGTCATCACAACATCATCATCACCATCATCAACACCACCATCATCATAATCACCATCCTAATCCTGCATGATCTTCGCTATCAAAAAAAAAACTACCACCATCGTCATCATCCTCATCATCCTCATCCTCATCATCATCATCATCAGCATCATCATCATCATCATCATCATCATCGTCATCATGAACATAATCATCACCATCGTCATCATCCACGTCCGCGTCTCCCGAATCTCTCGCATCCGCAACTTCATCCTGATCCTCATCCTCATCTTCACCAGCATCCTCATCATCATCCTCATTCCCATCCTCATCCTCATCATCGATATCTCCATCGTCATCATCATCGTCATCAGTTTCATCATCAGCAAAAACAGCATCACCATCAGCATCAGCATCATCATCATCATCATCAGTAGCAGCAGCATCATCATAATCATCATCACC